TTTGAGGTATGCGGGCCTCTCACTGTTGTGGCCTCTCCCGTTGTGGAGCACAGGCTCCAGATGCGCAGGCTCAGCAGCCATGGCTCACGGGCCCAGCCGCTCCACGGCATGTGGGATCTTCCCGGACCAGGGCACGAACCCACGTCCCCTGCATCAGCAGACGGACTCTCAACCACTGCGCCACCAGGGAAGCCCCGACTTTGATTTTTATTACTTATATTCTGCTTACTTTGGATTTAATTTGTTCTTTTTCTGCTTTCTTCAGTTGTAAGCTGATATCATTGATTTGAGATCGTTTTTCCTAATATAAGTATTTAGTGTTATAAATTTCCTTGTAAGTAATGCTTTAGCAGCATCCCACAAATTCTGATATGTTGTGTTTATATTTTTATTCAGTTGAAAATACTTTTAAATTTCTCTTTGATTTTGTTCTTGACACGTGGGTTATTTACATGTGTGCTAAATTAGTTTTAGTTAGTTTAATTAGTTAGTTTCCAGATAGTTGAGGATTTTTGCAGATGTCTTTGGTAATTTCTAATTTAATTTCACTGTGGTCAGAGAACTTACTTTGTATGGTTTGAATCACTTTATATTTATTGAAACTTGTTTTATGGCTCAGGATATTGTCTATTTGGTAAATGTTTTATATGCACTTGGAAAGAATGTGTATTCTGTTGTTGGGTGGAGTATTCTGTGAATGTTGATTAGGTCATATTAGTTGCTAGTGTTATTCAGGTCTTCCATATCCTTGCTGATTTTCTCTTTACTTATTCTATCAAGTATTGAGAGTGGGGTCTTGAAATCAGCAACTATAATTGTAGATTTGTCTATTTCTCTGGAATTCTGTCAGGTTTTGCTTTATGTATTTTGTTGCTCTGTTATTAGGTACATAAATATTTACGGATTCTTCTGTACTCTTGATGGATTGACTTCTTTTTCATATGAAATGACTTTCTTTGTCCCTGGCAATACTTTTTGCTCTGTAATCTAATTTGATATTTAGTAAACCTCTTCAGCTTTCTTTTGACTAGTGTTAAAACATGTTACATCTTCTTCCATCATTTTATGTTTAACATTTATGTCTTTATAGTGCATTTCTTGTAGTTTTGCTTTTGTATCCATCTGATGATTTCTGCCTTTGTGTTTAGACCATTTATGTATATTGTGATATAATTATATTCAAATCTGGAATTTTCCTGTTTGTTTTCTCTTTGTCTTATCTGTTTTTTATTCTTTTTCTTCTTCTTTTTAAAAAATATTTCCTTCCCTCCCTCCCTCCCTCCCTCCCTCCCTTCCTCCCTCCTTCCCTTCCTTCCTTCCTTTGAGCTGGGTCTTTGTTGCCTCATGTGGGATCTTCAGTTGTGGCATTCAGTATCTTCTAGTTGTGGCATGCGGGCTTTTAGTTGCAGCATGCAGGATCTAGTTCCCTGACTAGGGATCGATCCCTGGCCCCCTTCATTGGGAGCGTGAAGTCTTAACCACTGGACCACCAGGGAAGTCCCATTCTCTTTTTTTTTCTTTATCTTCTTTTGGATTGAGTATTTTTATGATTCCATTTCATTTCTTTAGTTGTATACTTTTTGTTATTTTAATGATTTCTTTAGCTTTGACAGCATACATCTTTAATTTATCTACCTTCAAGTGATATTATGCCACTCCTGTATAAGAACTTTACAATAGTTTATTTACATTTCTCCCCAACCTGTCCTTTTTGTTAGTGTTGTCATATAGTTTACTTATACTTGTTATAAACCACTGTTGTTATTTTTGTTTAAATAGTTATCTTAAAGCGATTTAAATAATAAGAAACAAGTATTAAATATTTACCCTTGTAGTCATCATTTCTGTTGCTCTTCCTTCCTTTGGGTTTATCCATGTTTCAGTCTGGTATAATTTTTTTTCTGCCTGAAGGCTTTTCTTTAATATTCTTTCAGCTTTGTATGTCTGAAAAACTCTTCATTTCACTTTTTTTAAAAAGATATTTTCACTTGATATAGAATTCTAGGTTGGCATTTTAAAGTACTTTAAAGATATTGCTACTCTTTTCTTGCTTACATTTTTTCTGATGAGAAATCTGCTGTCATACTTTCCTTTGTTTCTATGTGCATAACTGTCTTTTTTTTCCTCCTATGGCTGCTCTGAAATGTTCTCTTTATCACTAGTTTTGAGCAATTTGATTATGAAGTGCCTTGCTGTGGTTTCTTTTCAGGTAGTTTTTTTGTTTGTCTGGTCTTTTTTTTTTTTTGGTTTGTTTGTTTGTTTTTGCAGTACGCAGGCCTCTCACTGTTGTGGCCTCTCCCGTTGCGGAGCACAGGCTCTGGACGCACAGGCTCAGTGGCCATGGCTTACGGGTCCAGCCGCTCCGTGGCATGTGGGATCTTCCCGGACCGGGGCACAAACCCGTGTCCCCTGCATTGGCAGGTAGACTCTCAACCACTGTGCCACCAGGGAAGCCCTGTCTTGTTTTTGTACTTGGGATTCTGTGAGCTTCTTGGATATGAAAGTTTTTTAGTTTTCAAAATATTTGGTAAATTTTGGCCTTCGTTTCTTCTGTCTCTCATTTCTTTCAGGGACTCCAATAGCATGAATAGTAGGGTATTTAGGGTTGTCCCATAGCTCTCAGTTGTTCTTTTCCATTTTTAAAATTCTTTTTCTCTGTGTGTTTCATTTTGCATAGTTTCTAATGTTTCAAGTTAACTGATTTTTTCTTTTGCAGTATAATCTTACATTAATCCTTTTCAGTATATTTTTTTTCCTCAGACATTGTAATTTTCACTTGTAGAAACTAAATTCTTACCTATATTATATCTTAGTTGTCTCTAACTTTTTGAACATATGGAATAAATTTATAATAATAACTTTTAACGCCCTTGTCTGCTGTTTCTTACATCTGTGTCAGTTCTTGGTTTGATTGATAGCTTTTTCTCCTAATTATGGGTTTTACTTTTCTACATCTTTGCATGTCTGATAATCTTTAATAGGATACTAGATATTATGAATTTTACTTTGTGAGTGCTGGATATTTTTGCATTGCTGTAAGTATTCTTGAGCTTTATTTTGGACACAGTTAACTTAATTGGAGACTGTTTGGTCTTTTTGACTCCTGCTTTTAATATTTGTTAGGTGGGCTGAGAGCAGCATTTAGTCTAGGACTTATTTCCCACTAATGAAGCAAGACCCTTAATATTCTACTCAGTGCTTTCAGAATTATGAATTTTCCTAGTCTGAATTGTAGGACCAGGCACTATTACCAGGAATGCTGAATATCTCTTCCTTTAACCCTTTGGGATAGTTCTTTCCCTGACTCCAGGTAGTGTATTGCTGAATACTCAACGGGAACTCTCTGCCCTTCTCTGGGATTCTTTCACTGTGTAGCTCTCCCCTTTCTAGCTGCCTTGGACTCTTAGCTGTGCCTCTCTCATTAAGGAGTCCTTCATGCTCTCCCTGGGTTCACCCTCCCTGCACTGTAGTCTCAAATCTTTCTTAAGGCAGTAAGTTGGGACAACTTTGTATATGCCAGGAATCTGACCTTGGCTGGAAATTTCTCTTTTCTTCTGTGAGGCTTCCATAGTATAGGTTTCACGCGTGATATTAGTTGTAAATTAGTTTATGTTGTCTAATTCTGGGTTGACTTTGCAAGAGCACATGATTACTGTTTTTATTCTTTAAATGCAGTTAAATGTAATTTCCTGATTATAGTTTCTTAGATTATCAGTAATTTATCACATTGAATGAGAAGAGTTTCCCTAGCTGTGTAGAGTTATGGCCTGATTCTAGAGTTTTAATTTTTTGTTTGTTTGTTTCTTTTTTAGAATGAGTATGGGAATATTAAGTAATGAAGAATAGCTGACTTATATTATTTTTCTCATTGCTACTGGATCTTTGGTCAGATATTATAACTGCCATAGGCCATCATGACATTGTAACATAGAATCTTTAAGTACAGATTTATGGTGGAGCACTGAGGGTTATTTATTTATTTTTTTTATGTACTAGAATCATGATCTATTTGTGCTGAATGCTTTGTTAAGGTCAATTAAAGTAACATTTGAATATTGGTGATGTTACTTGCAACAACTTACTTGTTGTTAACATGTACCTGTATTTCATATGCTCTTAATCTGTCCTGTTCAAACAGGAGTAGTCCAGTGGATGACTCTATCCACATCTTGAGTGTTGATGAGAAGAACAAGTTGGGAGCCAAGATTATCAAGGCAGAGATGATGGGAAATATGGTAAGACTTATATGTTCTTTTGGAGAATAATTGCTAAATATCTGACTTCTTACAAGTAATTTTGGAAGTTCCTTAGCTATGTGGATGTAGCACTCTGAAAATAACTGCTGCTTATTGATTCTTTGAAGAAATTCTTGAACACTTCTAAGAACAGTACTGTCTACTTCTAAGTAAATTATGTAATTTGTCAAATTTCTGAAATTTAAGATTCTAGGGAATTAAGTGCTTTTTAATTTTCTTTTTAACTTGGATATTTGTTTATTATTGTATTTATAACTTATTGAGCGTATTTGAGGGAGATAAAGATGTCACTGTCTTCTTTCCCTTTTTTAGTCATATTTTGTTAAGAATGTGTATTACTTTCTTAAATTCCCTTACTTAGGAACTTCAAAAATGAGCTAATAAAAAGGATGGTTAACTCATTTTTTCAAATCTTAAGGCAACATATTTGTGCCTGACAATGTGTTAAATGCTTTGTGTAGGTTAGCTCACTTTATTCCCATAATAATGTTGTGATTTGAAACTTACTTAACTCACAATTGAATAGAAATCAGAATTATTTGGTAAGAGTGGCACCTATCTATTTATTATATTGTCACATTTATATTATACAAATACTGTTACACTGGACATGGCAGAATAACAAAGTCAGGCAGCTTTCCATGTCTTGACAAAATTGATTCCCTCATGGCCATATGTATGTATGCATGTCAAATCCAAATATAAGTGATCTTAAGTAGTGTTCTGTTTTGGTGTACCATCCGTATGACACTCTTCAGTAGAACAAAAAATAGCCAAACATGATAACTTCTGTTTTTATTAGTTTATATCTGTAATAAAAGTCATATCTTGCATTTGCTGCAATCTGGTAACACTGAACTTAAGCTCAACCCAGAAATTAGTAAGCAAGACAGACCACCACCAACAACAGCAAGAAAATAACATATGAGTTTTGAAAGCACAATGAAATTAGTTAAAATAGTGAAAGAGAGATCACCAAGTTAAGAGGTTAACATGTTAAAACAAGTGTTCTGTGTTCATGGAACCACTGCAGTGGAGAATGCTGTCTTTGCTTGTCATATAATTCTGTTTATTTATTTCATTGTGATTTATTGCTTTATATATCAGTTTTGTAATATAAATTTTTATAGATTTCCTAGAGTTAAAGTGAAATGCATTCAGAATTTTTATCTGAATTCCTTAACAATAAAGAAGGTAATATTTTAAATCTTGTGATGGCTTTCTTTTTACAAATAATTGAAATTCTGAGTATTGGAAGTTTATAATATCTAAGGAATTATAAAAGTGCCATTCTTAAGGTTATGTATTTCTTTCATTTCCCTATCTTCCCTAAAATATATGTCCTTGTAATTATTTACCTTCAAAGCATAAACAATTTCTACAGGTATTTGAGAATTTTGTTACCCAGAAGAGTTCATTAAAAAGTAATATACTAGACTGTGAGTTGGTAACTAGATTTAGGTGAGAGCTACTTGGATGTTTGCCATGCTGTTTTCCCTATTGTTAAGTGAATTTGAAATATTCTACAAATGAAGAAACTATGTTATCACACCTATTTTTCTTGTCTTTCTATTTGAAGGAATTAGCTGAACAACTTAAAGCCCAACTTGACAAGGCAAATAAATTCGAAGACAACATAATGCAGATATCATCAAAAAAACCTGGGGTAGAGGTAAGTAATAAAAGTTTGTTTATAGGTAGCCCGTTACCTTATATAATACTTCTACTTGGCAGTGGTAATATTTTAATGTTAAATGTGTCTGTATCTGTGTTGGTGTGCTTGTATGTATTTATGCTTGTTTGCTTGTTTTTAAAATTTATTTGCATATGTATTCTCTCATGTTCCACCATTGTGTGTCCTGGTGGAAGAAAGCCTAGGCCTACACGTGTACTAGGCCTAGGGCCAAGGAGACCTGGTTTTTTTCTGGGCTCTGCCATTTACTGACTGACCTTGCACAAGTCAAGGTCATTATCTCCTCCTCCAGAATGAGAGACTTGAATTTGGTATCCATTTCATGTAAAATATTTTGTTCTAGGATTCATTCACCTATCTGTTGGTCAGTAAAACAGATAAAAACACCTGTGTGCATGGAGTTTTATTTGGGTACTAAGAGAGAGGTAATAAATAGTAAAAATTTTAAAAAAGTTATATATCTTAGGCAGGGTGGTAGGGATCTTGAGTGCCAGGTATGCTGTATGTTTATGTGTATGTGTATGTCTTGGGATGCACAGGCTAATTCTCATTGAAAAAGTGACATTGATACAAGGACTTGAAGGAAGTTAAACAGTGACCTTTGTGGATCTGAGTGAAGAGCACTGTGGACATAAGGAACAGAGAATTTAAAGTTCCAAAGACTGGACATGTGTCCAATGTGTAGGAAGAACAGCAAGGAGACCAGTGTTGTTGGAGTGGAATGAATGAAAGAGAGGAAAGTAGAAGATCCAGATTAGAGAGACTGTGGGAGGCCAGATCATGTTATGCTTAAAAGTCACAGTAAGAAAGTATTGAGTTGGCCAAGAAGTTCGTTTGGGTTTTCGTACCATCTTATGGAAAAATCCAAATGAACTTTTTGACAAACCCAATAGGTTTTTATTCTGGGTGAGAGGTAAAGCTATTTAAGATTTTTGAGCAGAAAATGTATTTTGACAGGACCATCCTGGCTTCTTTGTTAAGAGTAGATTGGGGGAGAATAAGGTCAGACATAGGGTCTAGTTAAGCTTTTGCCATAATACATGCAGGAAACGATAGTGAACTTGACCAAGATAGTAGCTGAAGAGATGATTAGAAGTGATTAAAGTTTTTATATGCATAAATATCTTCTGTGTATATTTTGAAGGAGAGCGGACAGGATTTTTATGATGGTTTAGATGGGAGGGGAATATGTATTAAAAAGAAGAGAAAAAGTAGACTCCAGAGATTTTTGCCTGAGCAGCTGGAAGACTAGAATGGCCATTATTTGAGATGTGGGAGAAAGAGTAGGTTTGGAGCAAAGATTGGAAGTTCTGTTTTGGGTATATTGAGCTTGGATGTCTTTTAATTAATTTATTTATTTTTGCTGCTTTGGGTCTTCATTTCTGAGCAAGGGCTATCTCTAGTTGTGGCAAGTGGGGGCCACTCTTCATCACGGTGCGCCGGCCTCTCACTATTGCGGCCTCTCTTGTGGAGCACAGGCTCCAGATGCGCAGGCTCAGTAGTTGTGGCTCACGGGCCTAGTTGCTCCGCGGCATGTGGGATCCCCCCAGACCAGGGCTCGAACCCGTGTCCCCTGCATTAGCAGGCAGACTCTCAACCACTGCGCCACCAGGGAAGCCCCTTGGATGTCTTTTAGATGTGAAAGAAGTAGAGCTATCAAGTAGGCAGGTGGATATAGATGGGAGTTGAGAGAAACCTGAACTGGAAATAGAAATTGGGGCATTATTAACATATAAATGGTGTTTAAATTCACAATACTGCATGAAATTACCACAGGAGTAAATGTAGATAGAAAAAGGCAAAGGATTGGTTTGGTTGCATTACAGTGTTCAGAGGTTTATAGAGTGGTTTATAACTGATTTTAAAGATTAATTTATATAATTTAATGGTAGTGTGAGAAGAGGTGAGAATCTATGAAATCAGGTTTCATAGAATTTTTTTAAGCTTTAATTATTAATGACTTAGATAATAGTACAGAGAATATGTTTATGAAATAGGCTGTTTTTACTAAGTTGTGCTAGTCATGTTTTTAAAAAGTGGATAATTTGGAGTTTCTTGTACAGATTAAGGAATTGAGAATGGGAAACTATAAGTAGGATTAAAAAGTAGGGACTAGGGCTTCCCTGGTGGCGCAGTGGTTGAGAGTCCGCCTGCCAATGCAGGGAACATGGGTTCGTGCCCCGGTCCGGGAAGATCCCACATGCCGCGGAGCGGCTGGGCCCGTGAGTCATGGCCGCTGAGCCTGCGCGTCCGGAGCCTGTGCTCCGCAACGGGAGAGGCCACAACAGTGAGAGGCCCGCGTACCGCAAAAAAAAAAAAAAAAAGTAGGGACTAAAACAGTATAGCTAAAACTAGTTATACTGTGTACACTTTTGCCAGATTTATTTTTTCAAGTGTCTTTGTGGTCATAATACTTTTGTACTCTGAAACTTTTATGTGGTTTCTTAGTGCTAACTATATAAAGTACTAGATCTTCCTGCAGTATATCCTTCCAAAGTATAACCCCATTTTCCAGCCTTACCTCCAAAGCTTTTTTATACGTAACCTACATGTTTCTTTGACATTTACATATGCTATTAATTATCTGTGCCAGATATCACCCTCTTGAGGCTATCCACTTTTCATTTTGTCTTTAGTCCATTATGAAGTCTTTTTTCTCATCCTTTTGGACAGTTCCTCTTTTGAAATTTAAAGACTTTTAAAATATTCTCTACAGAATTTGTCTTTTCAAATTATGTATATTTGTATTCTTGTTATACCTATCTCTTTTTTGATACTTGTCACTTTATATGAGAGGGTTCTAAAACTGTGGCTGAATTTCAGGGGATTCTTAAAATTGAAAGCAGTTCAGCTGAAAAAATTGAAGCAGATCTTCTATTAAATAACATTTCTTCTGCTGTTCTAAGGATATCGTAGACTACTGACAGACTATATCTCATCCCTTGAGCATATATCTCTATACCATTACTGATTTCTTTATGTTTTTCAGCTCCTCCTAGTTTTTGAGCATTGTATCTCATAACTCAGGGAAGTAGAACTCAAAGTTGTATTCAAAGTAGAATTTCTATTTGTGAGTCTCTTTTGGAAACTGTATAGCCCTTTGAAGCTTCAAATAGAAAGGTTTTTATTCTATGGATTCTTTTTTTTTTTTTAACATTTTTTCCTAGTTTTATTGAGAAATAATTGATTTACATATGTTGTGAAATGATTATCACAACAGGTTTAGTTAATATCCATCATCTCATATAGATATAATAAAAAGAAAAGAAAAAATCATTGTGATGAGAACTCTTAGGATCTACTTTCTTAACGTTTTCCCGTATATCATACAGCGTGTTAACTATAGCATCATGTTGTGCATTACATGTCTAGTACCTACTTGTCTTGTAACTGGAAGTTTGTACATTTTGACCACCTTCCTCCAATTCCCCCACCCCTAGGATGTGCACAGTTTAACTGTGAAAAAGCACCTATTAAATTCATACAAACGAATGGAGTGATAATTATAGGAATTTCAGGTATCAGCAGTGTTTTTCTTTTGGGGATGGTGGTGTGTGGATGTAATGTGGGAGAGACAGCTATACAGGGTGGCCAGGGAAGGGGATCTTTCTGCAGTTTCTGAAGTTATACCTGTAGGTTGTCACTTCTTATTTATTTATTTATTTATTTGGTTACAAGTATTATTTATTTATTTATTTATTTATTTATTTATTTATTTATTTGGAGTATAGTTGATTTACAATGTTGTGTTAGTTTCAGGTGTACAGCAGTGTGAATCAGTTATACATATAACCACTCTTTTTTTTTTTAGATTCTTTTCCCATATAGGCCATTACAGAATACTGAGTAGAGTTCCCTGTGCTATACAGCAGGTTCTTATCTCCTAAGGATTCTTTGACCAGAAAAGAAAATTTCATTCTTCTCTGCAGAGATAGGGCACTTGCACGTTTAGTTAAAGCTTTACTAGGCATATATGTAAAACAAACCTTTGCCAACAATTCTGAAAGAATTCTCTTTCAGAGAATTCAGAGAATGCCATTAAAGTCATTTATTCTATCAGGGTCAGCGCCTTGGTTTATCTACCTTTCAAAGTAGTTTGTTAAAAAATGAAAGTACAAAGTTGTTTACTACAACAAAGAAATGTGGTGATATTTTAGAGGAAAATCCTGAAATACTTCTGATAGAAATTTTGCCTTTTCAGAGAAAAGAAAATCACACTCATAGAGCATTGAACATTGTTCTTTCATTACTTAGCTTATTTGTTAGAAATGTTAGATTGTACGAATAGGGTAAATCTCCTGAATCAGTGATCTATGAACATCTTTTTGGCTTTAGTGAAAATCCATCAGCACTTCTAATTGTTGGTTTGCTTATTTCTCTTACCCTTTAGAAGTTGAACTTTTTAGTGTTTAGGACAAGGGCTATTTCAGTTCATATATAATAGTGTCTAGGGTAATGCTTGGCATATTGTAAGCAATCAGAAAATAATTGAAATATTTGTTTTATGAATGTCCTTGATTTATTTTGTTCCCCATAGTTTTTTTTCTTTTTCTTTTTCATATTATTTGCCATTATGGTTTATTATAGGATATTGAATATAGGTCCCTGTGCTGTACAGTAGGACCTTGTTGTTTATCCATTCTATATATAATAGTTTGGATCTGCTAATCCCAAATTCCCCATCTATCCCTCCCCAATACCCCCTCCCCCTTGGCAATGACAAACCTGTTCTCCATGTCTATGAGTCTCTTTCTGTTTCATAAATAAGTTCATTTGTGTCATATTTTAGATTCCACATATAAGTGATATCATATGGTGTTTGTCATTCTCATTTTGACTTGCTTCACTTAGTATGATAATTTCTGGATGCATCCATGTTGCTGCAAATGGCTTTATTTCATTCTTTTCTGGCTAAGTAGTATTCCACTGTTTAAATATACTACATCTTCTTTATACATTCATCTGTCAGTGGACAGTTA